AATTCCTTTCTTTTGTTAAACTAATTTTTTTTTTTTCTTTGGTGGATTTTTATTTTTATTTTTTGCTTTTTTGCTCTTTTTCTTTTCTCTCCTTACTTTCTTATTGCTGTGCTTTGGTCAGGGTTAGTCACAATAAATTATGATGAGAGCCACGTTTCCTTCGGAAGAGAAGTACGGACCGCGATTGAACATGTGCCTTTGCCATTGCTCTTCGGAAGATGCAGATCACCCAGCGCGTGCTTTGTGTCTGCAAGGCCGCAACTCTATCGGGTGGCAATCTGACAAGGGATGCGTATATCCGCAAGAGCTTGGATTTGCGTTTGAAGGTGAAGTAGAACTAAATTTTATTCGAGTACTCTCTCATGAAAGAAAGATTGCATCACGTATCGAATTTTTTGTTGCGGAAGCCACCGATGAGGAAATACAAAGGGGAACGGTCAAACCCTACAGTCAGAGCAGTTTTCGACGTTTGGGATATGTTTGCTTTGTTTCCAATGCAGATAACACGTTTGGGGCTCGAGAACTCAAAACAATAAATATCAGACAAAAATGCGTTTATGTCAAGCTCCTGATTTCAAGGCCATATCATAGTGAGTACAATATATTTCATCAAGTAGGCATCGCCGCACTGACAAGCCACGGTACAATTCGGCGCACGCATCAGAGTGTTCCGACACAGGGAATATGTCTTGTGGGAGAGACGGTGGAAGTCCCTTTGGATGAGATGCTTCCACCGCGTTCGGAAGATTTTAAGCCGCTGGAAGCAGTGTATGATAATGGTTATGAAATCGACAATGCAACAGCTCGTCGTATTGGAGAACTTCTATTGTTGAAGGAAAAAGCCGTGGCAGCGGAGGACTATGATTTGGCGAGCGCGTTAAAAACATGTTTGTTGAATTTAGAGAGTGTAGGGAAAGAACTTTATGTTTTAGAAAAACAAAAGATAGAGGCCGTAGAAAAGGAGGATTACGTTTCTGCAAAGGCATTAAAGCGTCAAATTGATGGTCTAAGGGAGGCAGCATACAAGATTCCCACTACAGTTTCAGGAGGGACTGGAAACGCCAATGAGTCAAATAGAATAGAAGAGTTGCTAACAAAACAAGAACCAACAGTGATGAGAGAGTCAACATCAGTGGAACTCCCGGAAACACATCTTCTGCCTTCAGTAATAGACGTAAATACTCGAAATTCTGTATCGTTTGATGAAATCCCTGTGGAGGCACGAGGGTTTTACGAAATAGAAACTACAGAAAATTCGGTGGATTACGAAGCAAGGAACAATAGTGGCAATAGAGGGAATTTTAGTGGCGAATTCACTTCAGTGTTTACGGAAGGGAAGGAGGAATGGGAAATATCGATTAACCGCGTCATTCTTGGACTCTCTGGAGGCGAGGCACAAGCTTCAGTATTGCAAGGAGAAGCACTTACAGAGGCTGGAACCTGTGAAAAGGTGTTTGGAACCTACTGTTGTGCTTGTTTGTTTGGGAGGGAAGGATCACTTCGTGAGGCTGCCATTCGTGCTATCATATCACCCGATGGTTTTGCTGCTCTTTCCACGCATTCAAGCACGGTCATGGAAACGCTCTTCGCCTACATGGCACTTCCTTCCCGTGGCTTGAGTGATTCAGTGGCAGGGGTCGTACTTGCGTGCTGTGAGGCGCTTCAAACTATTATTAAACACAATATTCCAGTCGTGCCACCTGTGCCTGCTCTGATACCATACTTAAAACCCCTCATCCCGAAGTTAGTGCTGCGTTCAGGTGACAACAACAGCCGAGTTAGAGAGATGGCTGAATCTGTTCTTATGTCGTTTGCGGAGGTGGCGATTGAGCTCGTGGTTTCAGCACTTCTTATAGGTACAGGCAAGAATAAAAAACAACCAGTCTCGGCCAGGGTTCAGATTTCCCGCATGAACATGCTTAGTTCACTTATAGATTGTTACGGTATTAACGGAGATGGGGCGGCTAGTCTTGAACCAGACACTGTTATACCCAAGGCGGTATTGCCATGTTTGCAGCATTCGAATGGCAAGGTGCGGGAGGCGGCAAGCCGCGTTTTAGCCAAATTACTTCTTGTTGCTCCATCTCGCTCAACTTCGTACATGAAGGCGTTAAAACCGTCACAGAAGAGTTTGGTAGAACAACAAGTGACGGCCCTGAAAGCGTCCGCGGCAGACGTGAATGACAAAGATGAAATTGGGACTACTACTACACCTTTCCCTGGAAAGGTTCTGGACGAAAATAAGACGCATTCGGTAGGACGAAGTTTCCGATTTAGCTCTGGGTTACGCGGCGCTAACTCCGCAGAAAAGACATGCCAGTTCTGTGGGGAGTTTGATGAGAACTTTTCGAAGGCAACGCTGGATATTCACCTTATTCGGGCATGCCCAATGCTGTGTCCGTGCCCTCTCTGCGACCAGGTGACGGAGATTGCCAACCTGCAGCAACACCTCACCGCCGAGTGTGAGAACAGGCGTTTGGTGCGCGAGTGCCCTGTTTGCAGAGAGGCCGTGAGGGTAGACGACATCAAAAGGCACATCGCGGCAAAGAAGTGCATCAAAGCCGTGCCAACCCACAGCGTATGTCCACTGTGCCACGCTCGATTTCTAGCGGGATCGGCTGGGTGGGTGGCACACTTGGCTTCGCCTCCAGGCTGCCCGAATAACCCGAGAAGGCACGACGGCTCAGGACCCATAGCGGGATGAGAGGGAATGAGGTGAAGGATTAAAAGAAAAAAAACACACATGTTTGTGTCTCTGGGTGTTTCTCTAAGATTTTCTGGGAAGATTACGCGATTAGCTGGGATCCAAAGAGAGATGACACGGCGTTGGAAGGCAGCGCGAGCACAATTATGTTGTTTTTTTCCTCTTCCATTCCCTAGATCCCCAGTACTACTGCTATCCTTCACCCCGGGTGGAGGGGTCCGGCAGCTGCGGGACTCCAAGGACGATCACTTCTTGAGGTTATAACGAGAGTCCCAGCTATTATACATTGACTTATGAACCTATTGCTGGTTTACGGATGCTTGTGAGTTTGTGAGGTGAATCGTATCCTAGTTGCCGGGTGTTTGACACGTTCAGGCAAACGACAATCTTTTTTCCTTTTTGTTATTTCCTTCCTTGTGGGAATCTGCGGCCGATATCTCGGCCAGGCGCAAATTCCCACTTTTGTTTCTGGTCTTACACCCTTTTCAAAAATGAAGAGGGAGTAAGAAGGAGAGAGGTGACGAGGAAGGAAGCCATGAAAAACGGCGGAAATCATTTGGCTCACATCTTTTTCTCTTTTTCCCACTTACACTCTTGCTCACTCACTCAGTGGTTTCGCTGTCAGCGTGTCTGTCTGTCGCGGATGCCTGTAGTGACTTACACACTCCAGCAACTGGATACCGCCTCTTAATACACACACCACGCTTTCAAGGGCGACGATGCATGCGCAGTATTTTCTTCTGCTGCTTCTGTTTCTCACATTGTCGTTTTTATCCCTCTTATTTTGCACTTTTTTCTTTGTTTTTTTTTCTTACTCTTTGTGCTAACTATGTTTTTGATGTGGGCAAAGAAAGGCGCGTGCGTGTGACAGCGATAGTATTTTTATTTTATAGCTGACAACTCGTCTTTGGGAAAGGCGCAGAACATCCAGAGAAGAAATATATATATATATATATATATTCCTCTTAAAAAAGGGAATAATAAGTTTAAAAAGGTGTCCACAGTTCTTCTTCAGTGCCATCATTTTTACATCATTGCAACCGCTTTGTGCTTTTGAATTTTGAGGGTGCCTCCATAGCATTATTTCGTCATCCATGTCGGTTTACGAGCAAAACCGGCACCGTGTGGAGGAGCTTGTCAGGGGTCTCTACACCAGCCACAATGTGGAGGGAGAGCGTGAGATAATAATGGCGTTGGCAAACTTGGTGCAGCAAGGCAATGCGCAGTTGGTTTTGGACGAAGTCAAGGAGCATCTAAAGCACGGACCTCCGGCAGAGCAGGAACGCTCTATAGTTATCTTGGACCAATTGCTGTTGAACTGCATGCCTCAATTTGCCGGTTTGGTGTCGTCTGAAAAATGGGCTGAGCGTCTCTTGAAGGTAGCAAAGACCACTAGTTCGAAAAGGGTCACTCACAAGATCATTGAGACGGTTATTTTATGGCAAAAGAGGTACCGCACCGATGGCTTTAAGCGTTGTGCGCAGCGTCTTTCCCACAGCAAAGCTTTGGGAGACATGTTCGACCGAGTGTGGAACCAAATTGCTACGGAGGAGCGCTCCTTGATGTCTGGCAGAAACAGCAGTCTTAAGGACAGCAAGGAACAAGCCACCGTTAAAGCTACTGACAAACATCACACGCTTAATCAGGCAGAAACTATTGTGCTTGAGGCCCAAGGTGATCTTGCCTCGCTGGAGTACGCTCTTGAACACCCACACATTCTTCATGATGAGGACATCGCCAAGGAGTGTAAGGAGCATAAGCTCAACTGCATGCGCCTACTTGAGAGTGGACAGTATGAAGAATTTGCCTCAGAGCTAATGCAGTTGATTGAACGTTTTTCAGAAGCATTGGAACTCTATGAGGCAATGACTGGATTTGACATGGGTGAGGGTGAGGCGGCGCGACAGCGCGCACTCTTTGGGGGCGAGGGAAATGGGGTCATACTGGATAGCGATGATGAGGAACACACAAGGCGACTTCATCAGCGTGCTGCCCCACCACAGAATGCTGAGCAGGCTCTGCTAAAGGCTCAAGAAGCCACACAACAGTTGGTCCAGCAGGAGCGTTCTGTGACAGCAGAACTGCGCAATCAGCTTGAGGAACTTCGCCGCAAGCATGCTGAGTTAAATAACAAATACAAAGACGCCAAGGCCAAAAATAGGGAGGCTGTGGCCGCTTTGGAGGAGTACGCTGATGAAATTGAGGCACTTAGGGCCGGAGGTGGTGCTGTCCCCCCTGGGACTCGGGGTATGGCTGGGGCCGGTGCTAAAAACGCAACTGCCGCCCCCCCGATATCTGTGGAGGTGGGGAAACGAATGCGTGATAATGTGCTGTTTATAAGTCAATCACTACGAGAATTACGGGAGCGATACGCTGCTGATATTCAAAAAGAGAGTGCATATTACGCATCACAGCTTACCGGTGCCATTGCTTCTATTGTTGCTGCTGCAAAGCAGGAACGCCAGAAGGACCATAAGGCTTTGCTGTGGACGCAGGAGTTATACAAGAAGGAGATGAAACTCCGCAAACAATACTACAATACGATTCAGGAACTTAAAGGAAACATTCGTGTGTACTGTCGTGTGCGTCCGATGGTGCCTAAAGAGATCAGTGACGGTCATTCCTCTGTAATGGAATTTCCTTCCACGGATGAGCTAAAGTTTCTTGATGCGAGTGGACGTCCGAAGCTGTTTGAGTTTGATGAAGTGTATTCACCTAGCGCAACGCAAGCGAAGGTATTTGAAGATACAAGTCCTCTCATTGACAGTGTTGTGGATGGTTACAATGTTTGCATTTTTGCGTATGGGCAGACAGGAAGTGGTAAAACGTACACTATGGGTGGAGGAGAGGGGGAAACAAAGGGCATCAATACACGAGCGCTGGAGCGTCTTTTTGATATTATTGAGGAACGCAAAGTGACAGAGGAGTCTACGGTTGTCGTTTCAGTACTTGAAATTTATTGTGATAACATTCGGGACCTGTTGGCATCTAACGATGCGGGGAAAGTATTGTACGAGGTGAAGCAAGGGGGACCATGCGGCACATACGTGACTAACCTCACCGAGGTGCCAGTCAATTCCCCATTGGAAATTCACAGTATCATGGAACGCGCGAATAGCAAACGAAGTGAGGGGCAGACGAATATGAACGAGCACTCGTCCAGGTCCCACATGATTTTGTATATCGTGGTTCGAACAACAAATAAGCAGACAAAAATGCAAAGTTTTGGAAAACTTTCCTTGGTTGACTTGGCTGGGAGCGAACGACTTGAGAAGAGTGGTGCAAGCGGGCAACAGTTGAAGGAGGCAGTTTCCATCAATAAATCCTTGTCCGCATTGGGAGACGTCATTGCTGGGCTTGCACAGAACGGGAAGCATATTCCTTTCCGCAACTCTGTTTTGACGTTTCTTCTGCAGGATTCTATGGCTGGACAGGCGAAGGTTCTTATGTTTGTATGTGTCAGCCCCGCAAGTTACAACGCCAGTGAAAGCAACAGTTCCCTGCAGTTTGCTTCTCGTGCCCGTGGTGTGGCGTTTGGTAAAATCAAAAAGAACACTGTAGTAGCGTCTTGAGAACGTCGTGAGAGGAGCCCGGTTGGCGTGGTCATGCTGGGTTCTCTTTGCAGCTCGCTGCTTTTTTCTGTTGGACTCCATGCATCTGCCATGCTATAATATACTGTATATGGTGGTACAAAATTTTTTGTTCCATTAACGTGAATAAGTTTTTCAACGACAGGAGATTGGGGTAGAAACAACAAACATCTAAGCAAACACGCAAGAGGAGGCAAAAAAGAAAAAAAAACGCACACACACGAGGCGGAAAAAATAGTGACCAGCGGATTTCCAACATCCACTTCAGTACTCAAAATGAGTTTCTTTTTGGGTGATTTCTATGGGTTTCTGAAGAAAATAGGCTGGCCTTTATTTTACCGGTTCCCTTTCTCTCCGAAGCGGCGTGCAGATGCGGTGTTCCCAAATAAGTTAAGTGAGCCCCTCTTGTCTTATTCGTTTGATTTTTTTGTTTTTTTGTTGTTGTTCCTCTCCAGGGGCGTTTGGAACTAACGCTAACGATGCGGGCCTGATGATCACTTTCTCCATATGGAATACCGTAATCTTACCTTTTGCCCTGTATTTGTTTTGCTAGATTAGAAATAGGCAGTGATTGATGCCTGGGGGAATTGGTGGCGTTTTTTTTTACTTCTGCTGTCCCACAACACTTCTCTCTTTGGTTCTGCCTCGCTGCGGGGTTTTAGGGCCCTCTGGGGAGGAGGAGGAAAATGACGAGGCTCAAGGGAGCCGCCCATTCGCAGGCGACACGCGGATATAATGTTTGCTATTCGTGTGTACCATTTTTTTTTTTAATTTTGGCCGGACCGATTTTTGGTGTTTTGGTCCGAGGGTTTGGTCGGCGTTTTGATTCTTTGGTTTTTGTCAGTGTTTTTCTTTTTTGAAAAGAATTCTTCTCCTTCCTGTTGCCTGAGCGACAGCGTTTAGCGGAAATGCTTTTACCATTATTTAGCTTTGCCCCGGTTTTATTACTATTATTATTATTTACCTGTTCTTTTTCACCCGCAATTGAGAACTACTTTGCACGCTTTGCTTCCACATGTTGTTGTTGTTGGTGATGTGTGCGTGTGTACCAGCGGGGGAAAAGGCGTGAGATGACGACAGAAAAGGCGCAGCAGCAAGCAGCAGAAGCGGTCAAACAATATACTTGAGTGTGACGGGAGGTGAAGTGGAGGGGTGTGAGTATGCTATTATATTGCATGATGCGATGCAAGCGTAGAAGGAGGGACAGAAACAACTAAGTGAAAGCAACACCAAGGAAGCCTTTTCTTCACAATGCTCATCATGAGCGGCTGCCTATTTCTTCCTTAGTTTCAATGAATATGTTTTCTATCAACAGTCTTTTTCTTCATTACACCTTGTGCAATATGAAGTGTTTCACCGTTGCAAGATGTCTATGCCGCGGTAGGGTGAGTCCTGGTGTGTTCGGCTGTTCTGGCTTGACTGTACTTCCTGCATCATCCTCTTGCAACCAGGAATACGATAACAGCGTTTCTCGCTTCTGTGGCCTTTTGGGACTTTTGTGGGAAGGAAGTCTTGCTTTTTCTTACCCTCCGCCATCTAAGGAATACGACACAGTAGTGGCTAGGCAAAGGTTATAAGGTTCCCACCACACGCAGCTGTGAGAAATATAAAGAGAGGACTAAGGTGGACATTTACGGACACAGGCGCAACGCTTTCACTTCGTACATAGACATAGTTGTAACACAGATTTTATTACTAGTAAGGTGGACCCAACGCTAATCACTCTAGAAATAAGAGCTCATAAGTAACTGCAAAAACAAAGGATTATAAAATCTATAAATCGTCTTTAGTTTTTGTTTTTGTTTTAGGCTATTGAATTTGATACGTGCCAGGGCACGTCCTCTGAGAAATTCGTATCTCAAATCACTGCCTGTAGTAAGTATAAAGTGACAGAGGTGTGCAACTAAATTCCGTCTCGTAGCACGAAGGAGGATACTTTTAAAGACGGCCCGAAATAAAACTTAAAAAACGAAGGAAAACAAAAAAAAAGTTAGATCGCTAGATCTCTTCTGAGTATATAGGTGATCTTGATGGAATACGTAGTAGGAACAGGTGCACCGGATTGGCTGCATCTTGTGTCAAATGGTGCGAACTTTTCTCAACGACACGATCTCCACTTGAATGCAGGTGTTCCCGGAGCGGTTCAGCCACAATATTTGTTTGATTGTGGTTGGGGCCATTTGAAAGAAATGTCGCCGCAAGATGCACGAAGATCTTCCTCATCGGCCTCTCCTGGAGAATACGACAGTGTGTCGTCATGCAACAGCCATCAGTTCGGATGTTCATTGCTGTGTAAAGGAATGAAAGGTGCTTTGGAAGAGGAAAAAGACTGCAGTGACTCAAACACCTTAGAGTTATCTCTGTTTCATAGCGGCATGGTCGATGAATTGCTCCATGAAACTCCCTTTGAACAACCTCCGCATGCGGCTGCGATGGATACCGTTGCTGATGTTGCTACACATCCCTCTGCGCTTTCTCAGGTGGGCGCCGCCCCACCCACAACCCTTTGTGGGCTCTTCAGCAGTGACAAGACATGGGTAAATGAATCTCTGTCCAGTGCTGTATGGGGAACGTCCGTGCCCAACTTGAAGAGCAATGTTGTTTCACATTTGGCGCCTGTGCGGGAGTTTACTGGCTCTTGCAACACCGAGGTTGCTCTTTCTTACTGGCCGAAGACTGGTACGCAGGCACCCTCTCACGCTTTGGTGGGAACGACACACGATACGGGGCGGTGTTCTTCCTTACCGAAATGTGCTCCCCCTTCCTCTCAGAAACGACGGTCCATCGAACAGCTTATGGCGCAGTTAACTACAGACACAGACGACGCTTCTGCAACGAGGGATGGCTCCCATTTGACGGCAATATTAAAACAACCGAATGTAAAGGCCACTTCGTTTGATTGCCCTTCCGTGGAAGGACAACGAAAAGATTTTCTCGAGGAACTGCTTGCGAAAAGCAGAACTTTAAACCGAAGGGACTGTTCACGTGGCACTTGCTCAAATGTATCACTTCTTGACTGCGGTCGACGACCGTGTTGCAGGCCGCCGCTCGCCGTTGGCTGTTCACCTCTCTCCTCACCCCTAGAAAGTGGACCTGCGATAGAGAGTTTTGTGACCGAGAGTGACGATGGTGGGCGCTCCACTGCTGTCCCAGCTTGGCTGGGAAGTACTGTGATGGATTCGCTGCGAACAGTGCGCAGCAGTGACTACCAGTCCGGCCAGTCTTACCATTTGTGCCAGGATCCCACTCATGAATTTGTTTTGAATCGAAGCACTCTGAGTGGCTTCTACCGCAACTCGTCCCATAGTCGTTGCGTGGGGGGTATTATTGATGATTCATGCTTCACTGCACTCAAATCAGCAGAGGAATGGCCGCCTCGAACAAAAGACGATGCGTCGAGACTGTTAGGGCGGCTTCAAGCGAAGGAGCTCTTGCAACATCTTGTTGTCGTGAGCTTCTCGCGGAAGCACACTGAAGATGTATTGCTGTTGTTTGGCTCATGGAAACGCAAACGCATCACCCCACCGGATGTTCAGTTTGGACTTTACTACTGGTACACGATTAAATGGAGAAACGAGAGGTTGTGTTTAAAGCATAACGGCTGTGGACCTGCGGCAGGAAAAAACCGAGGGTGTGTCTACGCACTGAGGGGATCTCACCGTAAATGTCGCTACCCTCATAAATGTTTGTTCTGTGGGGCAGGGGATCATGGTTGGGTTGAAGAGGACCGCTGTAGCCGGTACTTAAGCCTCCAGGGAGAAATGAAAAGGTTGGGTGTGACAAACGATATTGCATCAGTTCTCCTGAACGCAATTGAATGCGAGAAGTAGCCGGGATCCCTTAGCAGCGTGATATGTGGGCTGGTTTGACCGTCTACTGCTTCTGGAGCCGTGGACATGGCCACGTATTGCCTTTATACACACATACATACAAACTGTAATAGTCGTAATGTTTTCTGGTGTTGTTTGACTTATACACACGGAGGGTGGGGACTTCCATACATCTCTGTAACAAATATGTAGCTATTCATATAAATACAACTTTTGTTTTTCTTTTTTACTGCGATGTGCTCTCTCGTTTTTGTCTGTGATTTGTGGTTTGTTTTTTATTTGGCTTATTTTTTCTGCTCTATAAGGGAACAAGGCCTATTTTTTTTATATATTTTTTTTTCTACCAAAAGGCATGACGGGAGTATTAGCATGTGTGAGCCTCCACAACTTGCTCTCCCTCTGTTTGACTGGGCGTTTGAGTTGTGGGTGTGTTGATTTCCTCGCCACAGTTCTGCTGAACTTCAAAATGGTTTTCTTTTTCTTTATTTTTTTCTATCCGTGGATCTGTTTCCACGTTTGCTTCTTCTTGCCCCTCCTTGCCGAGCAGTAATGCATATATATATATATACTGGCATTCGAACGTTGGTGGTATGTGGGTTTTGCGTAGGCCTCCGCACTCGGCGGTTTTATTATTATTGTTATTATTATTGTATGCTCGTTGTTTTTTTCTTGCTGCATCGCCTTTATCTTTTGTGTGTCGATAGGCGTATGTCTTCCGTGGTATTGTTTCTGCTGTGTATGAGTGCTATAGTGAGTGGGTGAGTGAGTTGTCGCGTGAAACCAGACGAAAGAAAACAGAAGTAAGAACACAGAATGACTAAGGGAAGCGAGGGAGAGAAATTTGCTTTCGAGTTTGGAGAGTCGTACACGCGCCTCCACGTATATACGCATATATATATATATATAGCTCTGCATACGATCATATAATGTATGCATGTACATTTTTTTTTTCACGTACAGAGGGGCGTCAATGCCAAAGTTTTGATGGAGCAGGAGGTGTATTATTTTTATCTCGTCTCATTTATACGGCTGCGGAGGATGGATTCTTTTTTTTTTTATGTGTTTTTGTGTTGTTTTTTATTGTTTTTATGGGCGTTGCACGCGGCTCATTTTTTTGTTTTTGATTTGACGTTCATTGTTTTTTTTTTTGTGTTATTTTATTTTGTGCCTGCGCTTGAGTTTGTTTTGCCTTGTTGCAGCGCCTTAAGGTGTAGTTTTCTGTGCCCATCGGTTTTTTTAAAAGGCCCGGCTGGTGCCCACGTGAGACCTTTTTGCGTCCACGCATCGGCTTTCATAAGGGGACTTTCATATTGCAGCGTACAATTCACATGCAATCTGCGTATGCCGATGCCGCGCCCGTGAAGACTTCCACAGAATCACTGGGAATGCCAGCCAGTGGCCCGGATGAACTTGTTAAGGTGCTTCATGACAACTATTTGAAGTACGTAAAACCTCTAGAAGACATGTACAGCTACGATCTATTTCGCCCCAGCTGGTTTGAGGAGACAATCCTCAATCAAAAACCGTTTGTGACCTTCTTTGGCCCATGGTCTTCAGGCAAGAGCACGTTTATAAATTATCTGCTTCAGGATAATTATCTCTGGACGGGACCACAACCGACAACCGCCGAGTTTACCGTTGTCGTTTACGGTGAAGAAGTAGGTCCTGTGAATGGACACGTATTAGCGAACGCAAAGAATCTTCCTTTCAAGGGGCTAACCGAGTTTGGGGAGTCGTTTTTTGAAAAGTTTCAGGGGTACCAGGTGCCGCATGAGCTATTAAAGCATGTGACGTTAATTGATACACCGGGTGTGTTGGAGAGCGTGAAGGACATTCACGAACGCCAGTTTGATTACGTGAAGGTGAGCCGTTGGTTTGCGGAGCGTAGTGACCTTATTTTTGTCTTGTTTGACCCCTCCAAAATGGATGCTGGAATCGAGCTACAAATGATGTTTAAGCACGCGTTCAAGGGGATGGAGGGAAAGATGCGCATTGTTCTAAACAAGGCCGACAGCATAAACACCCAAGAATTGATGCGAATCTACGGCAGCCTTTTTTGGAACTTGTCAAACCTCATTAATTGTACTGAACCACCGCGCGTGTACGTCGGGAGCTTTTGGGATCAGCCGTACAGAGAAGGGACCTTCACGCTGCTCTTTACTGAGGAAAAGACCGACCTTTTGCACGAAATCATGGAAGTGGTGCCACAACAGGCGTGTGACAAGAAAGTGGCGAGTCTCATACGCCGGGCGAAGGCGGTGCTGGTGCATGCACTTATCGTTGGTGGTATGAGGTCGGAGCTACCGCGGCTCTTTGGAAAGGAAAAGGCAAAGAATAAGGCCTTGGACAACCTGCAAAAGACGTACGAGATTGTGGCAGCCAAGTACAAGATGAACTGGAAGGACTTTCCTCCTGTCCAGGAATACCGCACCTTCTTGGAGAAATTTGACGTGGAGAAATTTCCCGAAATTGAGAAGGCGGAAAAAGACGGGAAAATCAGTGCCTTGCAGAAGTGCGTTGGGACGTTACTTCCCGGCATGCTGCGCCCTGTCAAGAGAACTGCTGTTGCCGATCCTCGGAATAAGGCGGAACGGCAACAGTTGCAGCAAGTGTACCACGAAGCGATTCGCTCACAGTATGAGGGAAATATGGGGAAACAAGGCAGCAGTGACGTGGTGCAACCCTCTCTTCGAGAAAGCGCCGTAGCATCGTCAGGGGGAGTATGGGGAAAAAAGAACTCTGCACCCGAACAAGCAACTGACCCCACGATGACCATGGAGAGTGCTGCAATGCCGAATCAGACGCAGATGCTTATGGGGATGATGATGCAAATGATGCAGCAACAGCAACAATATCCTCTTCATGCTGAGTCCGCACCTGTGGATGAGGAGAAGTTGGATTGATGCGGGGCGATGTACAACAATACGTAAAATTAAGAAATATATATATATATATATATATATTTGTCGCTGAACCCGAAATTCTTAGGCCAGTGAGGAAATATAGCAGAAGTTGTTTGCGTGAGTGAAGCAAAAATAAATAAATCCGGCGCATATACATATACCGGAGGAAAAAACTGAGGACAGCAGTGAGCAACAAATTTGCGTAGGCACGCATGGGTGCGGGGTGCGGAGGGGGGAATTGAAGGAAGGAGAAAGGTGGAAAAGATAAGACTTTTGCCACTCAAGCATATTTAAAGAAAACATGTAGGGGAACGATGCATGGTTATATTTGCTACAGTGTTATTCGTTGGAATCAGTACGATACACGTACATTACATTTGTGGATTCTCTGTTATTACAACTGCATTCTTGTCCGTTTGCTGTCACCACATTGTCTTTTATGCGTTATTTCCTGCTACTGCGACTACTGCGACCGGTTTTGCCTTGTAATTGTTGGTTGTTTGGTTTAAGAGGTAGACAATGGGTGTTGGTGGTGCCTACTGAATAGTAGTGCGGCAAATCAAGATAGTTGCTTCTCTTTACTGGTTTTTTTTTCTTCCTTTACTCACAAGGAAAAGAGGATGCCCAGCTCTGTGGGGGGACCCTCTTGAGGTCTGTTACGACACCGAGCTATTTGATTCCTTGCTGGGGTCGGAAGAGGCTGGTTCAGCCGCAATTCGACAGGAGGAGGCATCCTCGATTTTTTCAAAGTTGTTTACGGTTGACTGACCGCTCTGTTTCCGTCGTCTTGCTGCTGCGATGGCACGCTCGCACCGCACTCACCTCCGGGATATATATATGGACCCAATTAGGGCTCCATCGATTGTCCGGTTACGAAGCAGTTTGTGCTACTGCGTCCAACACACTGGCCGCACCTCGTTGCAGCTGGGTTTGGGATCGACGTCAGGCTGCGGCATGGTTGACGCGTTGTCTTGGCTTGCCCGGAGAAACTTGAGAAGTTGGCTTGCGAGGTGCGACAATCCCAGACAACCCCACCTCAAGGGAAGGAAAACATGTCTTCATATTCACTGACGTTATAGATTTTTTTTCCTACAACAGTTGGTGGGAACACTATTCCATGTGACATCGTTTGGAGACGGCAAGACACTGGTGCAGCAAGTGCCTGATGCTCTTTTTGAAGGGAACTGCGCTTGGAGGTGTCGACAAATTCCACTATTTTTCTATGATCTTGAGGTCAATAAGTGACGCTTCTTTGCACACACCTTGGCAGCCGAGAAGGGCTTAGCGCATAGTGACTGTAAGGTGTATGCGGCGGGGTTCATGAAGTTTGGATAAAGTTATATGTGCCAATGCTTGCACTGGCACCGTTCTGTGCTGCAGCAACGAAAGAACCAATAACCTCACTTGTGGAAAAGATTGCCTGCGCGGAACCGATATCTGTTCCAGTTGCGGTTTCACCTTTAAAAGGAAAAACCATAAATCTCACTGATCGACACTCCGCAGTGAATGTGGCCTCATTTTTGCTTCCAAGCAGTTGAATGGCATAGCTTTCCGTCACGTGCAATCCAAACAGGTCTCTGCTTGAGACTGCTGGACGCACAGTCTTAGAAGCGCGTTTATTTGAGGAAACTTTCTATTGCCCCCTGGAGCACTGCATTGATTACAACTCACTCATGGATGTGGAAGCTTACTGTTTGCGGTGGGGCTCTTTTTGGGGTTGGTAAACCGGAGGAAGGCATTTCTTTGCTTCATTTTGGAATGCGTAGGAACCTATCAAGGAATGCATCGCCCACTATATCCTTGTTGTTGGCGACGCTTATCTTTTTTTCAGAGCGGGCGATTGCACGTCTCGTGGAACAGTGTGGACGCGTAATGGTCTAGTGTGGAATACGGAGAGCCACCACTTGAGAGCGACTGGCTAAGGCAGACGAGGGATATTACTTCGCACCAGAAATCCGATGCGGACGATCGACGCTGGTGCGCCACTGTTTGGGAATATTTATGCTTTGCTTGTCGGTTATTCTTCTTCATGTGAAAAAAGTTCCTGTTGGTTGTGACCTACATGTCGTGGCAGACATCCAGGGGAGAAGACCTCACGTACGTGTCTTTGTACCTGTCTCTGGGTCTATTGTTTTTTTTTTTGGGGGTAGCCGCTGGTGGCGGCATTGCGACGGGGGTCGCCTCGTTTTCAGGAATTCATGAATCCCTCCGAGCGGAAGCTTCTGGTAGAGGAACTCTGCGATGCGATGGGTCGTGTTGTTGATCTCTTTTTTGCGGGGGTGAATGGTTATGGGGCGGTATGCCATACCGCCAACCAAAGCCGTACCACCGGCGATACTCTTAATGCACTGGAAGGGAAAGGTACACTGTTACAACTACAAGAGAAATGTGCGGCTTTTCTACGTGAACCTGTGGTGAAACGAGATGCTGGTCCTCTGCCGTACGAGCAGCTGCTGCCTCTTTACCCGACGCTTGCTGCGGTGCGTGTGCGCCACGTACTTGTTCGCGAGTATTTATTAATTGCTGAAGAGAAGGTAAACCACGGCGGATTCCTCCACAGGAGGTCGAGCAGTTTCATGGAAGACAAGTGCAAAGCGAATTTTTTTTTTTCCGCCAAGGCGATGTAGTACGGTGGTGGAGAGTGGAGGGGTTGCTTTGGAGCTCGCAGGTGCGGGACACAATGCTTTTAAACGGGAGTGCGTCGTGAGCACAGCAGTTTATCGCGTATCACAAGCAATTACGAGTGGTTCTGTTTCTTCGCTAATGCTTACTTTTTCTCCTCCGACGCACTCGTATGATATGAAGCAGTTGCTATTGCAATCTGAGTGACGTTACGAGTTTTTAGTTGAAACTTCTGTGTTACTTGGATGCTGGACGTGTACGCTTCTCTTTTCTGCAGCCATGGTCGCAGACATGTTTCCCCTGCGTCGACTTATTTATCGTGACGTGACTGCAGCTGAGGAGCCGGCCAACGCGTTTTTTTGTAGTGGATGTAGATGTGTTTCACGTCGATTAGGTGTTCTACCTGCCTGACCTTCAAAATCGCCTTTTCGGTGTAGCCCACGCGTCGACGGCGGCGACAGCTGTGAGGCACGAGAAACAGCGACAAGAGCACTACAGGATGCGCTCGCAAAAGGTGCCATGGAGGCACGATTTTTTCTCATCTGCACACATGATACTTCTTTAACAAAGCGGCACGACACGAGTGAAGTAAGTTCCTCATGTGGCCGACGGGACACGTAAATTTGTGCCTTATTTTCATTCTGAGGAGCTCGATGAGTGCGCACCAGCTGACATCACCAACCTTGTTGGGAGATGCCCATTTGCATTAGTGATGGCTCAACGTAGTCACTGGTTCTCATCGTAGCCACACAGGTTGTGGTGTTGCGGACGTTTTCTATGCATATAACACGCGGAACAGGGTGCCATGTTGTGCGATTTGTGCCGGTCTGTGAGTCGCTGTTGCATGTGCTCTGCGACTTTTTCAGCACAGTTAGGGGTGTCTAAGTAGGCTGCAGCAGTTCTGTCGTTCGTGCGCCGCTACTTTGATCAGAAGCAGGGCAGCGACTTGGTTCCTGTGCTGCAGCCACTAATGGAGAATGGAGGCAGTATGACGGAGACAATTGTGGCGGTGGTGCTCCTCGCTGCTATGCTAGTCGGCGGCTGTCGCTCGCTTCACTACTACGCTATGCCTGTGGCGCAGCTTCCACTGCCAGCACCTTGCCAGTACGCCACGGTATCGACGCTGTTTCACCCTCTCTTTGCCCATGAGGACAGCTTGGTGGAGTCTGTTTCCATGTGGAGATGTGCAAAGGCTACATCAATGATGTTATCAGGCCCATCGTAGTCTTCAGCACAACTCTTCGTCGGGTTTGCTTGCAGCAGCTTTTTTGAGGACATCGAGTTCTCAACAAGAGCGACGAGCGGTGAACTACAGCGTCACGAAGAGCTGTGCGGAAAAGCTCACACATCCTGCGCGGTGCACTCGGATGTTGTTTCCGCGCTCTCGCGTTTCCCTCCAGGCGAATACAGGGGTTTTCTTCTTGTTTGTGTCTTATTGTAGGAGACTTATTTTTGTTTGATTTGGGTTTCTTGTTTGGGTGGGTGTGGGGGTGTGGGGGTCCTAATATCTTTAGTGTCTCTTGCGCTCTCGCGGTCAGTTCCGCTCCTTTTGTTGCGGTTTTTGCGTGTGAGTCCATGGCACACGCCGCTGCTTGCCTCCGCGTTTGTGTTCCTGCAGCCAGTTGCGTCATTGTCGTCATCAGCACAGCAGGCGGTTGTTTTTCACTTTTTTTTTGTTTGGCATGCCTGGGTGAGTTGGGGCGTGCCCTTCTCCGTTTGGATGCGTGTCGCCTGCTCTCAGTTTTTTGCCCCCTCCCTTTTTTTTTTTGCGTTGCCCAGTGACGCAAGCCGCCGCGCCCGCACTATTTCTCTTTCTTTCTTGTTTTGTTTTGTTTTGTGTGCGTGCGTCTGTGTCTGGTCGAATCCTCGCAGCGCCTCTGTGCGGACACGAAACAGCAGCAGAGAAAAACCGAAACACCAACGAAGGAGAGCTTGAAAAGGGGGAAAGTTGAAGAAAGAGATAGAGGGAAAGATTAAAGAGAAGTAACAACAAACACAACATAATATATATATTTATATTGATATATATATATATATATAAATAAAACATCGGCGCGAGGCAGACACACACACATCTGCCCACGCCTGTACAAAATCCACACACAAACTACAGCAGAGGGATACACACAGGAGGTAAAACGAAAAGCGAGGAATAATGAGTGGTGCAAGGGGCGGGTGGGCACCGGCCAGCAGTGATGGTGAGGGTATGCAGCAGTCGGACACGCGGCTGATGAGCCCACCGGTTGCTTATCGTGCAGCATACGACTCTATCGGCGATTTGCAAAATAGCCTTCAAGGCTACGACCAACAAGTGGCCAAGGTCATTCAGCAAATAAGCGCGCTTGCAGGCGTCGTTGAATCGCTGCAACAGCATTACGATGCCGTGGTAGAGGAGAAAGATTATATGCTTCGATCGCTGGATGCAGCGGAGGGGCGTATACAGGATGTTCAGCGTATTGTCCAGCGATATGCCGCGGTGACAGATCCTGTAGTGGCCTCTGACGGCTTCACGTATGAACGGGACGTGATTACGAATTACTTCAATGAGTGCCAGGCTCAGAAGAACATTCCGATGTCGCAGCAGACTCATACAGAGCTGACGATGATGCTATTCCCAAATCGTTCCTTCAAGCGTTTTCTTGAACAGCTGATGGAGAACAAACCGGGTGAAATACGAACCGAAGCCAGTGGCAACAGCCATGCGAACCACGGCGGCAGCGTGACTGCACCTAGCCGACCAGCAGGTAACGCTCAAAACAATCATAAAGGTGATGTGGGCAATAAGAGCGGCAGCGCCGGCGTGGAAGGCGAAAGGTTACACCCATGCGTCCGTGTTTATGGCTACTGTAACTATAAGGACGCCTGCGCCTACGCGCTTTACCCATACGACGCATGCCTATCACATTTGAAGGGGAAGTGTCGCTTTCGCTCCCAGTGCCACGAGCGACACGTCGATTTCTACGGCCCACGGAACCACGGGCCCACCAACGGTGGATAGCGACGCGGGATGGGTGCCCGCACCTTTTGCAGGACCGCATTGAAACTGGAGGGAGTATGCTTAAGCGAACGATGCCTGTGTGTCAGAGGTGGGTGGAAGGGGCACCACAATGCAGGTACGAAAAAAAAAGGAAGAATAAAGAAGGTAGTGGCGAATGAGAGGCAAGGGGGGCGAGCATAAACAAAGCAACAACAAAAAAGAGAGAAATGAAAACAACAACAGGAAAAAAGGAAAGAAAGGCAAAAACAAAACAACAAAAAACGGATTTCCAAAGGAGAACAAGTGTGACTTTTGCTCCTCCAAACCGCTAAGAAGAGGAAAAGGATGCACTTTATTTTTCGCCACTCTGCGTTTACATGCGCGCACCTTTACTGTGTACTATCAGCCTCCTGCTCCCATCCGTTTGCTCCCCACCTGGTTGATTGTTTATGCGCAGTCGCACTCTCTGCAAGTGCGACATCTCCAAACTTGAAGCAAAGGGGAAAAATGCAATTAAGTGGTGATGGTTTCAGCTGAATCTCGAAAAAAAAAAAAAAAACTGCACGAAAGGTAAAGACAAAAAAAAAAAAAAACTAGCACCAGAGACTCAAAAATAAGGCAAGTGAAATCCAACCGACTGAACTGAAGCCATATTTAACGAACAAAGGAAACCAAACAAGAATGGAAAAAAAAACAACAACAACAACAACAAACAAGAACGGTAAACGAAGTGATGAAATGAGGTGACGATTCGAGGAGACTGTGTTGTCAGTGGCGATGGAAATGAACAACGATAACAGAATAGATGATAGGTGTTGTGAAAGACGAATCACCATGAAGGAGGCGAGACCCAGGAAGACATGTGGCAGAGTTGGTGGTATCTGAATTTGTGCCAGTGCGTTTCTATGTATGTAGCGTTTTGTGTAGCGTATTTGTTTCTGCCCGCATGCGCTTTTTTTTTTTTTGGTGGGTTGAGTGTTTTTTTTTTGCTTCTTTTCCCTTTTTTCTCTGTCGTGTGCTCTGCCCTGGATTGCTTTGTTTATATTTTATGAGTGTATGGCTGCGCCACTTGTCACTACGCTGCCGTGCTTTGTTGCCTGTGCACGCTTTTGGGCCACCCCAGTGGGAAACCACCGTTGTCACGGCGGCGGCGGCTGCTTCTTCTCTTTTTGCCTTTTTTCAATGCTTTGCTGTTGGCGCCGCTTCTGGCCTTGCACTGTTTTCAGACGCTCTTTGCCACCTTTTTTATTTTTTCTGTGGGGCGTGTCTGCGTTTTTTTTTGTTTGTTTTTTTCAAGGGGGCGGAAAACGGGCTTTTTTTTTGTGTGACCGACGCTTGGGCGGGAGGGAGAATAGGGCAGTCTGTGTGCACCAACGAAGACGAAGATAGATGGGGCGGGGGTGGCGGCAAAGGCAGGCGGAATAAGCTGCTGCTGTTACAGGGGTAATGTACGACGCGTCAGAGCGGGCGAAAGAAGCGAGGGCCTGAGGCACGCAGAAACGTTTTCCAGGCTTTATGTATGTTTTTTCATTCGTTCACTCCTTTTTTTTTTAGTCCCACGTTTTTGGCAAGAGCCTTACGGACAATGTCAAGGCCGATGTTGCCCCGAAAGAGAGAAAGCAACTACGACCACAGGGACGTGCTTGCAGGTGGCGGCCTGCAAGGATGAAGTGTGTGGGTGTGATTGAGGAAGGAAGCGGGTAAGTTTTGGGGAAGATGGAGGTGGAAGGATGATGGTGGGGGAAGAATTCCTTTTTTTCCCAAGGGGTAAGAAAGCCCCTTTTTTTGATGCCTGCTCTCTTGCACACGAACGCATTTTGCTCCATGAACTTATTGTTTGCTTATCTTGTTGTCATTTTTTTTTTTTTTCTGATCTTCCCACGTTTCCGTTTTTGTTTTTGTTGTTCTTCTTCTGTTGGTTACTCCATGCTGTTTTTTTTTTTTTTTACTTATTTAATTGTTACTGTGCGTTAGTGCTTTATTATTTTCATCACGTGTTTTTTTTTCTCTCCTTCCTTCCCTTTGTCCGTTCACACCGTTTCTCGGCGTGACGTACACACCCATGCAGCTGTGCGGTACGAACAGAGAAAGGTTTCCCAGGAAAAAATAAACTGAATGCAGGCCAACACAGGAAGTGTCTCGGAGCGCGCACCTCCAATTTGGGGTGCAATGAAGGAGTTGCAAGATGGATTCAATGGCCATCAGTGCTCGCTGCCCTATCTGCTGGGCGTTGTGCAGAACCTTCAACGGACCCTGGAGGAAACACGACACCTTTACAACAATGCGATTAAGCAACGGGATGAGGTTCGTGAAAAGCTTGTTGTGGCGCAGAATAGTCTGGCAGCGGTGGAGCGCGTTGTCAATCAGTATGCCTCAGTAAAGGATCCTGTGGTGGCATCGGACGGTTTTACCTACGAGAATGTTTCAATACGAGATTACTTGCGGGAGTGTGCTAGCACAAACACCAAAGCGTATTCGCAGCTTACGAAGGAGGAGCTGCTAGACGTGGTGGTCCCCAACCAAACCTTGCGTCGTCTTGTCCACATGCTGCAGTCCGTTCGGGCCAGCGAGGTACCTCCCATATCGCAGCGTCGTCCCATTCCTCCCTACACGCCTCAGCAAAGTGATGCGAACTGGAAGGGTAATAACGCGAACAGTAACGGTGCCAACAGTGGCAATGGCCTTAATTGGGCGGATGAAGAGGTTAATCAGGGGGCCACGCCCATTCGCGTGGCAGAGTTGGAGGCCTCACTTGCGAAGGCTGCCAACGCTGGCAGTCTCAACGCTTCCCAAAGTAGCAATGCTGTTCCATCTTCTACTGTTACCAACACCAATGCCAACACCAGCAACCCAGTGAGCCGACGTTGGGAGACACGGCAAGCGCAAAATGCCGGAAACAGCGCCAAACTCTCCAATAAAAAACACCCCTGCCTTCGGGTATACGGCCATTGCAACTTCCTTGACGATTGCGCCTTTGCAAACTACCCATACGAAGCATGCCTAAACAACATCAAGGGCAAGTGTCGTTTTGGGCAGCACTGCAAGGAGCTGCATGTGAATCCTACCCATTCTCGCTATCCAGGACAACGCAAAAGCAGTAGCAGCAATCAACAACTTGTCCGTCCCAACACACCTGTCCACGCGGAGAAAGAAACCGGTGGGAAGGACAAGCGGTGTACGAAGGAGAAGGAGAGCAGCAAGAATAGCAGCGCGAGGGGGGACACAAACAGCAAGGAAAGCGCTGAGGAGCAGCATTTGAAGCCAGTGCCGACCCCAACGCCGGGCTCGGCCGCCGAGCCACGAGCTGAGCCATCCTCCCTTGTGGCTGAAGAGACGGTGTAAGTAAAGACCACACGGCAAGGCAGGAAAAACAAAATCAACAACAGCACATACACACATCCACTTTCTGTTTTGTCCAATAAAAAGCAAACAAGCAAACTAGAACAAAAATTAGAAAAAAAAGAGGAGGAAAACATATTAGGGACAAAACAACAACAACAAAAGAAGGAACTCAGAAGGTGGCGGCAACGAAGAGGCTGTCAAGCGGCAGAAAGCAATAAAATAAAATAAAGCTGAATATAATAAAACACGAGGAACCGGAAGGAGAAAAAAAGGGGAAGGAAAAACAACAACGACGAGAAGCAAGAAACGCAAGAACAACAGGAGTTTTTTTTCGTGTACCGTGTGTGTGTGTGTGTTCTTTCTGAGCGGAACAATTTCCGCAGCATGTCCTTTTTTTTACTATTATTTGTTTTGCTGTGTGGATTGTTGTTTTTTTTTGGTGTATTTCGTTTTCCGTTGCTCTCTTATTGCATGTGTGGCTGCGGCGTGATGTGCGACCGCATCTCGACCACGCTCATTTGTGTGCCACTGCGAGAGAGGACTAATTGAGGTGACAAGGAAGACAAGGGAATGAATGGGAAACAAAAACGGATATGCGCCCGTACATGTATGTATATATGCATCCATAATGGTAAGTAAAGATACACCGACAAGAGTGGGAGAGATAAAGAGGGAGCCGCCTCTTGTGCCACGTACCGGGGCGTGGTACGAGTACCGAACTCCCCAACCTTTCGATCGTCCTCCTACTTTTTTCCTTCTGCTTCTCTCACTGGCACGTTGTTGTTGTTGTTTGTTTTTTTTTTTCATGCCAACTGAAGGAATAAGACACAAAATAAAATTGAGAATTGCGCAACATCTATCACTTTCTGTTCATTTTTTTTTTGGTTTTTTCCTTCTTACATTGTTGGCTTTATTTTGAGAGAGGCAAGGAAGGAGGGACCCCGAAATGGGCCACGTCGTGAAGGGAGTTACGGTATATATGTGTGTGCTTGAGAAGGGTGCGGGGGAACGGAGGCTGGTGGAAGACATGAATGCGTCTGTAGCAACTTGAAGGAAGCGAAAAAGCTAAAAAAAAACGAAGAGAAGATAACACCAATCAATATAACGGGGGGAAAAAGGAAGGTGGGTCACAAGCATCTCAGGTGGACACCAACCGTCTGCCGTTGCCGTTAGAAAACGGCGGGCGTGCTGGGGGCGCTGGTGTTCCTGAGTGTGTGTGTTGGGGGGGGGGGGGGGGAGGGGGCTGAGATTCCCTTTTACTCACTGCAGCTGGTAATATATATATGCATGTTTTTTGCTTTTGTTATTGGATGTTGTCGTGGGCTCTCACCTGTTTTTTTTTGGAGCTTTTTTCTCTTCGGCTCTGTGTGTGTGTGTGTTTTGCTTTCCTTCGTTGCCTTGACAGGATTCTGCTGGATTAGTTGTTCTGCAGCACTCACTGGTAGTGGCGTGGCCAGGGTTTTGTGTGTGCATGGGGGTGGGAGGGGGATGTAGCGGTTCTGACAGTTACCGTCATCACGAGCGCAGAGTAATCGCAACGTAAATGAAATAAAACAAAACATAAAAAAAAAATTGGGGAAAAGAAATGGAAGCTGAGTTATGGGTGAGGAAACAATGAGTGAATATTTGTAGCGACAAGGGTATGGGAATGGGGCGGCCAGTCACATTCTTGCCTCACCATCTTCTCCCTCTTTTCTGCGGCTGGCCCTCCTCACAGTTTACATTGCTTTTGATGTGCTTGCCGTCCTCTGTGTTTGTTTTCCGTTTATTGTTTGTTCTTCTTTTTGAACTTCTTTACTTCATGCCTCTCCTCTCTCTTTTTTGTGTGCGGGACGGGGCGTTGTTTCTGCCTGGGTGGTGGTGGTGGTGGGGTCCTTGGGGGAGTGCCATGAACGTACACACAGGGAGCGAGGCGAAACCAGCGCGGAGGGAAGGGCAATAACTAACATTGAGTGTTTTGGCCAGACGGTGGAGGGGGAGTTCGAATAAATGAAGGGAAGTTACGGGAGAAATTAAGCTGAATAAAGCATACGAGATTTCGGGGGGTGAGGGGAACGGATGCTTTATTGGTGGTGCCTTGTCTGCTTTTTGTCGCTCTTCATCTTCTTTTTTTTTTTCCTGCTTCATCTCCTTCGTCTTTTGGTTTCATATTTTTTTTTTTTTTTTTCTGTTTTCTTCGGTGTTTGTTTGTGTGTTTTTGTTGTTTTTGTTATCCTTTTTGCGCGTTTTGTTTTGTGGTATTTCTCAGTCTTGTTGTTTTGCCGTTTCTCCACGCGTCCCACAGGCGAACACCTTCCCCCCACCCCCACCCCTCCGCTGCTTTGGTTCCCTACCGTTAAAACAAATGCGGACACATGCAAACACACAGACACACGCATGCAGGAAAAAGAAAAAGAAAAAAAAAAAGTTCCATCGATACGCTTTGCGGGCACGCGATTTCCCTCTTGTCGTGTAGATTTGGACACTTGCGGCGCATTTAGACTTTTTCTTTTGCAAGGCAGCAGCAAATAACGCCATACTGCGACTAACCTCCTTGTGGTACCCTCCTCTCATTAGTTAATAATAATATGTCTTTTTTTTTTTTTTTTGGTTGCTTCTGCCCCGTGTTTTTTTATTTTGTCTCCGTCTACTACTAGAAAGAGCGAAGACTACAGCAGAAAAAAACTTCTGCAAATAGGTCTGGACCTGCATTTGCAGGTATAGAAAAGGGCGAAGGAGGGAGACACCGGCAACAACCTCACTCCTTACTGTGTATACCTAAACTAATCAGTTGCGTAAGACAGCGATAAAATGACAGCCCCTGCCAACAAGAAGATCTGGACGGAAGGGCTTTTGTCCTCTTTTTCGATGATTCTTGTGAGTGAGATAGGTGACAAGACGTTTTTTATCGCGTGTTTGATGGCAATGCGTCACCCCAAAATTCTGGTTTTTGTCGGCGCTCTTGGCGCACTAGCCAGCATGACAGTTATTTCTGCACTCATGGGGGTGGTGGTTCCCAATGTTCTGTCAGTGCGGGTCACAAAGGCGTTAGCGGTTGTCCTTTTTTTTGCGTTTGGGGGCAAAGCTTTGTACGATGAGTTTGCCAAGCGAGGGGAAGGCAATGCGGAGAGCGGAGATGAGATGACCGAGGCTGCTGCTATCATTCGCAGAAAGGACCCGAACACTTACATTGAAACAGGCGACAGTGGCTCAAATCCTGGGACACATTTTCGGCGTTGGTACGCGTTGCCCCCTGTGTTGGTAGAAGCGTTTGCACTCACGTTTGTCGCCGAGTGGGGCGATCGTAGTCAACTTGCTACCATTGCCCTTGCAGCGTCGAAGAACGCGTTTGCTGTAACTAGTGGGGGAATCTTGGGACACGCCGTGTGTACCGGTGTGGCTGTGCTTTGTGGAAATATGACTGCCAGGTATGTTTCCATGCGAACAGTAAATATTGTGGGCGGGCTGCTATTCATCTTCTTTGCCTTTGTAACGCTGTACGAACTGCTTGCCCAGACGCGTTATATGGAGGATTTGATGCAGCATAAAACTGCTTAATACGTGCTAGCAGCGCCGTAGGTGAGGCTGAGCATTGTGTTTTGCGCAGTACAATGTGTTTTAATACATTTATTTATAACGAGAGGGAAACAAAACAAAATAACCCAAAAAAATGATTTATTTTGTTACATTCCGTCTCGAGAAGAAAATGGATTTTTATTCATGTAAAAGAGGGAGGGAGGAAAAGGAACTGAGTTGAGGATTCCCGTCACGTGGTTCCTGCACTTTCAATCTTTACCTTTCAAACTTTCTTTCTTTTGCTCTGTGCAGCTTGTTTTGTCACTCTATGCCTGACGCGCTTTATCATTTTTTTCTGTGTGGAAACAATAACATTACTCGTCTGTGGTGTCTGCTTCTTCTTCACGACGTTGCCAGTCACACGGATGTGGTGATGCCAGACGGGTGCATGGGGCACTGAAGGATAGAAGCGGCATCACTACACGCGTGTACGCGGAGTTATACATGTATGTGGAAATTCCGATGGACACATCGAAATATGTGTAATAATTTTTTCTTTCTGTTTGAGTGCATCTCGCTGGCGCTGTTTCCTTCTGCCTGCTTCCGTTGATTGTAGAGGCTAACGAGGAGCAATAAAAAAAAAAAGAAAGAAAAATAACGCCCGAGGGGGAGGGAAATCCCCGCGGGTTACAACAACAACACCACACTCATGGGATGGAACAAAGAGAAGCTAAGTGGTGGTGTTCTACCCATAAGTGCAAGACGGAATACTAAGCAGAGAGAATATGTTTGTTTACGGCGAATAAGCTAAACAATTTTCGTTAATGCATGCCAATTGCCTGGGTGTTGGTGAAACAAAAAACAAAAAGGAGGAAATAAGGTGGAGGAAAGAAATATAGCACAGGCAAAAACCCAACAAAATCCCACATGCATTGCTGCATGACGTGTGACGCAACGTTCATAACATGACGATATGCTAATGGGGACCACCGAGTGCACGTAATTGTTTATTTCCATGTTTTTTGTTTTTTTCCTTTTTTGCTTTGTACTTCCTTTTCTGCTTACTACATTTTGCTCCTGTTCATGAGTACATTTACTTCTGCGGAGTTTCAGCTATATCCTTTATGCACCTAACTTTCCGTGTCTCTGGTTTTGTTCCTTTTTCTGGTGCCCCTCCCACTGACAGGAGGGGGCACGCACAAAAAGAAAGAGATAGGAGTACACAAGGCCTCTAACCAAAAGGAAATAAAGAAATCAGGTTAGGTGGGGAACTGACGGGTTTGGCTCTTTATTTTTCTTTGTTGTTTTTGTTTTTGTTTTTGTTGTAATTTTGCCAGGAGTTTTGCGTGACTCCATTTTGTTTTGTTTTGTGTGGCTCAAGTGTGCGCTGCTGACGACCGTCTCGGAACCAACAAGAAAGGGTGATGAGCGGGACAAATTCGCCAAGTAACGGCCATGCAGTGGATTCTCCAGTGAAGGAGACCTCGCGGAAAATTCTCTTCAACGTCTGCCGAAAAGAACTGTACCACCCCAACAAGGGTTACAAGCAGCTGGCTCGTCGCTTAAAGCAAGTCGGCACTGTGGATGTGAACAAGGAGGATATAACATTGGAGCGTCTGTTACCATATGACATTGTTGTTTTTGGTGCTTCTCAAGATAAGCTCAGTGAGGAAGACCTTTCTGTCATTCGCGAGTACGTTGAGCGCGGTGGCTCTGTGATTATGTTGTTTGGCGATGGACATGGCGGTCGTTACTCCTACCTGAATCAGACACTTGATGCGTGGACGGGCATTACGCTTAACGAGGATTGCGTTGTGCGTACTGTTATGAACAAATACCTACACCCCAAAGAGGTGTGTGTCGCAAATGGAGTGACAAACAGGGCGATAAACAAGGCAGCTGGAAAAAATGTTTTGGGGGCTCATGGGTATCAAGGTGACCGAGGTGGATTTAAGACAGGTGGCTCCACCTTCGGTGATCGTCCTGCTCCTGTTACACTAAATCGAACCGTTGCCGCCGGGGCCTTGGGCGGCGCAACGTTGAGTGGTGCTGCGGTGGCTATGCAGCAACAGATGGCGGAGAAAAATGCAGCTGATGGCCCCACCAGCCTTGTATTTGTGTACCCACACGGCCTTAGCTTTAACGTGAGCCGCCCAGCGGTGCCAATCCTTAGCAGTGGGTTTATGGCCTATCCATTAAACCGCCCAATTGCGGCAGTATGGGAGTGCGACGACGTGGTGGAGCACAACGGTCAACAGAAGCATGGGAAGCTGCTGCTTATAGGCAGTGGCCTCATGATGGAGGATGCCTGGCTTGGAAAGGAGGAGAATGAGCTACTAACGACCGTTCTCTTCGACTACATGTATCATAGGGTAAAACTGAACCAAATTGATGCCGATGAACCAGACATTGCGGATTATAACCATGTTCCTGACACCGCCTCTCTATCCGAGCGATTGCGGGTTGCTGTAGAGCAGCAAGAGGAGCTACCGCGTGATTTTACCAAGCTCTTTCAAACTGAAACATTCAAGCTGGACACAGACATAATTCCGGACGTTATTGAGGCCTATAACAAGCTCAACGTGAAGCAAGAACCTTTAACACTTATTCCACCGGAGTTTCTGACGCCGCTGCCTCCAGTGAAGCCCGCTGTGTTTGAGCCCACCCATCGGGATCCGATGGCACCCGCATTAGATCTCTTTGACCTAGATGAGGAATTTGCACCCGAGAAGGTGCGGTTAAGTCAGTTAACGAACAAGTGCAAACCCGAGGATGTCCAATTTTACATTTTGCAGGCCGCAGAGATTCTTGGTGTCACCAAGAGATTACGAAGTCCACGTAATCGTGACCCTCGTGCACTTCTAGACTACGTCTTTCGCCAGGTGGTGCATTACAAGAAAGTCAATGCTGGCTATGCGCAAGCGACATCCAATGCAGGGTTGGATTCCTATGGAAGTGACGCCAATGCAGCCGCTGCTGCAGCCGCCGGTAGCATGATGCGGGTAATACGCGTATCCACTGGCGCAAACGGGAATAAGGATACCACACCGTTTGATGATAACGTACCTTGGACACTACAACTTCAAGCGGACTTTGGCAGTGGAAACATTTCGGGGAGACTTATCTTGCACGAGTCTTCCTTGCGGTTTCCTGCGCAAGAGGCTTCTCTGGATGGCACAATAAAGCCACCTGGGGAACGAGAATACCCCATGGAGTGGGGTGTGCTGTTGCAGGGGGTGCACGAGGAGCAGATCTTTTTTGTTTTTCTCGCTATGTTGCAGGGAAACACGCTACGTGGCATGTGCGAGGTGGCAGGTGCAAATAGCAATACCCGAAACTTTGTGTATGAGATTGAAGAGCTTTAGCAAAAGGAGGAGTGAGCGCATAGGTAGACGATGCATTTGAGGGAGTAATGACCGCTTCTGCAGTCACTAGTCAGAGGGAACGAAATGGAGAATAGAAGGAAATATAAATATGGGGGATGGGGGTAGAGGTGGAACCAGACGAAGCAGACAAATAGTCTGAAGTCCCAACCAATCAGTGTCGTGTGTTCTCAAAGGGAACTGTGAGGACGGCAAGAATATACAGCAGTGCTGACTACAACATAAAACGCCTTACCTTACCCCAGCAATGTATTCGAGAAAAACAACAACCAAAAATTAGGAGATTCGCAGAGGCAACAACAGGTAGAAAAAAGAAGAAAAACAAAACAAAACAGAAAGGCATAACCCCGATACATTTTTTGCGTTAACGAAAGTTGTTTGAAGCCTATGCACTTCTTCTTCCACTAGTTTTTTTTTTCTTGTTTGTTTTGGTTCTTTCATCCATTTTATTCTCAGTGAGGTTTTCCCCCTATTTTGTATTTGTGCTACTCTCCTGCCTTCTTTTTTCCCCTTTTTTTTGTTGTTTACCCTGCTTCAGCTATTTCTATGTGTGTTGATGTTTGTGAGAAGAGGAGGGAGAGGAGAGGTTTTATCTGAGTTAGCTGAGGGGAAACGGGGGTTATAGAGAAGCGGATTTGCTGCGCGGTGCAGGCAACAACGCTGCTTTTTGGCACTAAACAGAGTGGGAAAGGAACGCTGAAAGAGGAGGAATTAGATGTTAGCGAGATCAGCAAAAACCAAAAGTTCAACCGGATAGCCGGGGATGCATTATTACTGTGCGAGGCGGAGTGTTGTCTATTTCTGCGGCATGTGCGCTTAGCATGGACTGCGAGAAAGTGCTTCTCTTGCTTGGTCTGCATATGTTTCACCCTTTCCCTTATCTCCCTCTCTCTTTTGCTTTGATTCCTGTTGCGTGTCTGGCGTGTGTCTGCGTGTGTGCGGCGGCGACACAAAAGGAAGGAACGAGGAAGATTACTGGGTGACGCCGTAGTCTCTTCTCTACTGCGTTCACGCATAAATATATACGCAGACCCAGTTAGGCAGCATAGGTATTACGTGCACCGCCTGTTTGCACCTGATTCACATTGAGTGTGGGTTGGTGTGATTGAGGAAGCAGGTAGCAACAGTGTCACCAACATCAGCAGGGAGAAAGAAGAACAAGGAAGGTAGAATCGACACAATACAAGGAGGCAACGACACAGGAAAGCGGAGGAGGTAAAAAATAAAACAACAACAACAAGGGAATTTATTAAAAGTTGGATTATTATTGTTTTTTTACTTTTCTAACACTTCTTGCCAATGCGTCTCAACATTACGATTCATGATGAGCGTCACGAGGATGCCTGTACGTGTGTGGCTGTTTCTTTGATGGGTGACATCATCAGCGCCGGCGACGATTATGTGCTTCGCCGCTGGAGCCCATCTGGTGAGCCACTTGGCAAAGTGCATCAGTTCGACAGCTGCATCACGTACATCACGTGGGTCCCTTTGCAAGGTGGTCGGAAAGGGAGGGGTTCTACGGCGGGAACAATTGAGGGGAAAGACAATTGTCTTGTAGCGTGCGCCGATGGGACGTTTTGTTTTCTGAACGCGGCATCCGGTCGTGTAGAGCGTACCGTTGAAGCGCATATTGGCACTATAACTGGACTTGTGTACTCCGCAGACGCCTCTTCCATTGTGTCCTCTGGGGAGGATGGTTGTGTAAAGGTGTGGTCGCAGGCTGGTATCCCGCGCACGACACTGGTTTCTGTCGGGAGGTGCATCTACGCCCTTTGCTGGGGATCGGAAACGACTGAACTTGGGGGCGACTGTGTGCTGTACTGTTTTGGCAGTGATGTGATCATTAAACCACTTAACCCAACAGTGAAAAAGCAATTAAAGTGGAAAGCTCACAACGGAGTTGTATTGGCCGTGGATTGGTCTCTGATGACAGGATTTATCGTCACCGGTGGCGAGGATGGGACGTATAAAGTATGGGATTCTTGTGGTCGCAGTATTTACGTTTCCGCAGCGGGTGGGCATCCGTGTACGGCAGTTAAATTTGCAGCCGACGGTGAGATGTTTGCGGTAGGCTCCTTTATGTGTCTGCGTGTGTGCGATAAAACGGGATGGAGTCATACCTACGAACGACTCGCGGAGGGCAGTGCTCTTTCCCTTCAGTGGACGGCAGATGGAACGCAGGTGGTAGCAGGGTGTGGTAGTGGGACGGTTTGCATTGCACAGCTTGTGGACCGTAAATTGTATTGGGGGCAGTATTGTGTGACCCTCGTAGATGGTAACAAACTTTTGATCCAGAATGTTTTTACAGACACCGTGGAAGAGCTGGAGCAGCGTGACAAGGTCATCAAGGTGGAACTGGGTCATGGTTATCTTGTGACATGCACCACCACGCAATGTGTATGTTATCCGATTGAGAAACTCTCTGCACCTGTGCAGTTTGATCTCCGCGATGTTGTTATTACGCTTATTCTTGGGCCGAAACAGTTCCTTTTGGCGGACTGTAATGCCGGGATGCAGGTTTACTCCTACGAAGGACGACAGGTATGCGTGTTGCGTCTTCAAGCATCTCTTCGACCTGAAATCATGGCACTTGATCTGGTCGCATTGTCTCAAGATACTGTGGCTATTCGCAACCCTGCGGACCCCAAAAAGATTATCTTTTTTGATGCCAATAATGGCAAACCAATTGAAAACGCCACTATTACACATCATCTTGAGGTGCTGTCGCTGGAGCTTTCGCAGCCTGGCTCCATGAGCGACCGAAAGATTGCCTTTGTAGATCGTAATCGTGACCTTTACTTTGGTTCAATACATCAGCGACTCGGGGTGCAAAAAATTAGCACCATGACCTCGAGTTTGGCGTGGCATGATCGGCACGAGATTCTCACCGCCATTGCGGATGGCCACCTCACGACATGGTACTACCCGACAATTGTCTTTTCCGATCGTGACTTGCTACCCATTACAAAGACGGTGCGAGATGACGGTGTGGATGAATTTTCCCGTAATGACCGCATTGTATCCTTTGATGGGACACGCGTGAGTGTGCGCCGGGGCGTTGATGGTGCACTCTTGACGTTCAACACCTCTCCATACCCCTCCATGATCTTTGAACACGTTACCCAACACGACTGGAATGGTGCCATTCGCCTGGCGCGCTTTTTAGATGACAAACCATTGTGGGGGATTCTAACAGGTCTGGCGTTGCGGCAAGGCGAGCTAAACGTTGCAGAGGTGGGATATGGTGCGCTGTTTGAACTTGACAAGGTTCGCTACATCCGTCAATTGAAACGCATTCCCACTCCTGAGGGACGACAGGCCGAGTTGGCGCTGTTTCAGCGGCGACATGCGGAGGCGGAGCGTATTCTTCTCCACGCCGGACTCATCTACCGCTGTATCGACATGCACATCCGTTTATTTAACTGGGAGCGGGCATTGGAGATTGCAACGGAGCGAAAGACTCATGTGAGTACGGTGCTGGCACGCCGCCAGAGGTATTTGGATGCTGTGGGCAAAGAGGAAACCATTCCACTATTCAAGGAGCTTGCGTCGTCGGTGAGTGTGGACTGGGACCTTGTGCTTGAGAAAGTGAAGCAGGAGGAGATGAAGGAGTCACAGCAGCCGGGTGCCAGACCGTATCAATAGAGATGCCGTCTGCTTTGCTTGGACAGGGACAAAAGCTCAAGAGAGTAAGGAAGTGTGAGGGAAACTGTAGAATATATTAAGCTGCACGAGGCGAGGGAATACGGCAAGTGGCAACAAAATAAAAAAAACAACAACAACAAATGATGACTCTGGTGAAGTGATTTTTATTATTATTTTCTTTGCATTTGCGTGTGGTGTGGTGTGGTGTGTGTGTGTGGCTGTATTATTTTTTTTTTCTTCGTCACGTTTTTGGTTTAATCCCTCTCTTTTTGTTTCATGGGCAGCTGCCTTGAAATACGTGGTTCGCGTTCATTACGGGGCCGTGTTTTTGTCGCATTCACCTGCCGAGGCGGGACGTGCGCGGGAGGAAGCGGCAGAAGAGGACAAAAGCCCACATCGGCATAAGCTCACGCTGCCCCTCGATATATATGTATATATATATATATATATGCCCATATAGACTTGTATGTATGTAGCCACTTCGTCTCTGTTTCCTCTTGTGATTCGTGTGTGTGTGTGTGTGTGTCTTTGCGGTGACTCAGCATTCGAATGTACTCCCTCTGGAATTTTCCCACTTTACCCATTTGTTTGTATCTCCGCTCTTCTGCTTCACGGATTATCATCTCTGCTGCCGTACGGTTGCGTCACGACAGGAGGTCACGGTGAAGAGAGGGATATAGGCAGAAAGAAAAGAGAAGCAAAAGGGGAAAAAACCAATAAGAAAAGGAGGTGAGGGTGCCGCAAATGATAGGCGGACAACACACAAAGGAGCGTCTAAGTGAACGCCTACAAGACTGTCAAAACCAACCAAAGAACCGTGGATACCTGCCGGGCACGAAGCTCTTGACAGGTGGATACAGCACCAGAACTCTTCAGGGCAACTGGACTGAGGAGCGCGCGGACGCTGGCTACTACGATGGTGAAGCGGCTCTTCCCACGCATCTGTCAAGTGTGTGGACGACTGACTATCGCACCATGACAAGTAACATGAATGATTCTCTCTCTCATCCAGTGTTTGATCAGGCCACGCTGATGGACATTGTGGATCACAGGCACCGCGCGTACCCGGCACATCAACCGCACCTGGATCAACAGCTTGAGACGATAAAACAAGAGCGTTTCAAGACGGTCACGGGGGAGACGTACACGAATCCAGAGGAAAGAAAACGACAGGCAGAACTGTGCGTTCCACATATTATTGGCCGTACTCCCACGGCGCAGGCGAAGGCGGTGATCCTGCGCTTTCAACGCCAGTTGTTGCTTTCGAGACATGGGGAGTCAGCGTTTCCTGGAAACATTTTACGTCAAGTACGACTATCACTTGAGCGCAGCGATACAGCCGGGGAGGGAATGCTTACAGTGGAAGAGGCACAAGAGGCATTTACCGAGGCGTCTTTGATCACGAATAGGCCGGAATGTGTGGCGCTTGTTCGTGCCTTTGATTTGAAAGGGGACGGGACAGTTTCAATTGCCAAGATAATGCAAGAACTACGCGGTGAGCTGCGTGATCGTCGCTACGGTATTGTGGAGAAGGTTTATGAGATGTTGAAAGGTTTTTGTCCGGATGGCATTTTGCGGCTTCAGCGTCTTGTGGACCTTATTGATATTGATAGCATGAATGCCGTGATAAGTGGCGAAGTGACATCATCAGCTGCGCACAGCGCCTTTGTAGAGCAATGGGACTTGCCGAATGAGATGTACATCTCCTTTGAAATGTTCCTTTTGTATTTTATGGATGCGTCATTTGAGATTAAAAGTGATCAGGAGTTTGAAGTCTTTATGCGTAATGTGTGGCACCTAAGCGGGGGAAATGGGAAGTCTATGAATACCTCTTGCCGGCGTGTGCGTGTGGTGCACAGGAACGGCCGTATTACCACAGAGGTGGTGAAAAATGATTTGTACATCAAGGACAGCGATCCAAACATGATGGAGCGCATCATCGCCAACTTGGCGTCGTGGGGTATCAAAGATGTTGCACAGGCCGAAGTATTGCCGAGGAAACTGTAATTGTGTCTAATTTTGCGCTTATTGTTTTCGTGGAGTTATGCCGTGCTATGCCCACCGTCCACAATGCTGTGTTTGAGAGCGGTATTACTAGTTGTGGTGGCTATTTCTGTTGTTGTTGTTGGTGTTGTTTCGTGGATGTATGTGGATGTAAATACTCTATGTGTCATGAGGAAAATGCCTGGCCGATGCGCGACGGCCTGTCTTTGACTCCTCAGATATGCCATCTTGTGTGATACACACGTGTGTGCGCGCGTTTGCCTCATCTTTGTGGGTTGTTTTTTACTTTGATGATGATGTCCTCGCAGTTGTGTGTGATTGCGAAAGGGGCGGTGAGTCGTCATTTGTTGTGTTGTTTTACTCTGCTTTCCCTCTTTCTTCTTCTCCTTGAGCTTCCTCTTCTCTACCACAGAGGTTAGCAGTCCACCACCGTGCGGTCTGCTCGGCCCCACTGCCGTAGAGTCTTTTACGAGGGGGTGAAAAATAAACGAAAACATCGAGAAGCCACTGAGGGAATCAAGACACAAACACGCAAAGAAAAGGAGGAAAAAAAAGAATAAAAAAAAGACAACAACAACAACAAACGGACCATACACATGTTCCACCGACCGTTGTCTAACCTCTGCTCCAAGGTTGTCTCGGCGGCCGCGATGACTCCACTGGTCGGGAAGCCATCGAAAGAGGAGGGGAGGGCCGCAACGAGCGTGGAAAAGGACCCGCGGCACAAGCAGATATTTCTGCAGAAGTTTCGTGAGCGGTTGGCCGCTGACACAACTGGCAAGAACACACTGGAGGGATTTATTGACCTTCCCGAAGGAATTTCTCCCACGGCAGCAGCCGTCGGGCCACTGAAGCGGGGTGAGGAGCCACTGCCGCCCTGGTTGAAGCTTAGGGTTGCGAAGGGCTTCTCACAGCAGCCACGTTTCAACAAAATTCGAAGGTCAATGAGAGATAAGCGTCTGGCAACAGTATGCGAGGAGGCTAAGTGCCCTAACATTGGAGAATGCTGGGGCGGGGGTGAGGAGGAGGACATCGCAACAGCGACAATCATGGTTATGGGATCACATTGCACCCGAGGCTGTCGCTTCTGCTCTGTGCTGACGAGCCGTAGACCACCTCCACTGGACCCAAATGAGCCGCAACGAGTGGCGGAAGCTGTCGCAGAGATGGGTGTTGATTACATTGTTATGACCATGGTTGACCGTGACGATTTAACTGACGGTGGGGCTGCGCACATTGTGTGTTGCGTGAATGCCATCAAAGAGAGGAACCCTCAGCTGCTTCTCGAGGCGTTGGTAGGCGACTTCCACGGTGACCTTAAGCTTACAGAGACGATTGCCTCCTCGCCACTTAGTGTGTACGCACACAACATTGAGTGTGTGGAACGCATTACCCCAAATGTGCGTGATCGCCGCGCCACGTATCACCAGTCGCTCAAGGTGCTCGAACACGTCAACATTTTTACCAAGGGTGCTATGCTCACAAAGAGCAGCATCATGCTGGGTCTCGGTGAGCGGGAGGAGGAGGTACGACAAACTCTTAGAGACCTACGCACTGCCGGTGTTTCGGCGGTCACACTCGGCCAGTACTTGCAACCCTCACGCACACGTCTGAAGGTGAGTCGTTATGCGCACCCAAAGGAATTTCAGATGTGGGAGGAGGAGGCACTGGCGATGGGCTTTTTATACTGTGCTTCTGGGCCATTGGTACGGAGTTCATATAGAGCTGGTGAATACTACATCAAAAATATACTGAAGCAGCGGGAGCCCACACAAACAACAATAACTTCTGCGGACACCAATGCATCCTCTAATGCAGCTGATGCGACCAACTAGACGACGTCGTATGAGGGAGATGTGAGGCACAATTAGTTTCCGCGGAACCTTGAAACGGAGGGGTAAAGCAGAGGCAACAGGAAAAACGCTTTGAAGGACGTTTCAAGTCAATTTTTCTCCTGTTGGATCCCTTGTGATGTCTCTTTCATGGAGTTTTCTCTCGTTCTGCTCGCTCCAATGTGTCGTTTTTTTTTTTTTTTTGTGTGTGTCGTTGGGGGTGGGGGTGGGGGTATAGACAACAACTATCAGCGTGTTATTTTCTCTTCGTTTTTTCGGTGGGCTCTTCATGTGCTGCACTCGTCTTCGCTCATGCATCGATTTTCTTGTTGTTGCTGCCACTGGGTTGTTGTGGGGGTGGGGGGCGAATGGCCGTCACACTTTTCTTTTTTGCCGTACCACCAGCGCGTGCACGTGCCTGGTCGGCACCTACACGAAGCTTCTGAGCAGGGTTCTGTCCGTCGGCGGACGGCAGGAGTGAGAAGGAACGGAAGAAACAGCACAAGTATTAAACCACACACAAACACTGAGGAAGAAGAATAAGAAAAAAAGACAAGCCGTTTTAGCAAACAAACAAAAAAAACAGACAAACGAGATTCATCACTAACTTAACGGACATCTGTGCTTTTTTTTTCGTTTTTTTGAAGGTAAAACAACACACAAGTAGTGCGAGAGCGCATTTGTTTTCATTGAATTGACTACTTGTTTTGAGCAGCAGTTCTGCCTGCGGAGAACCTGCACGTCACCACATCCTGCAACGAGGCACAGTGACAAGGCAGCGTCAACGAGAAGCGGAGGGATAAAAGGCGAAAGAAGGAAAACAAGAATAATATCAGCCTCTACAGTAAATGCGAAGGGACACGTATATTTCGAATTACTGGGGAGTTCCTTGGCAAGTGCCGATGCTTAGTGGTGACAGCTTTGAAGAACATCGCCTCCAACATACGACTAATCGTGGCCGCCCTCAGTCCTCCTCGCCTGTCGCAGGCAGTATTGATAGGGGTTGCGCCGCAGCTGCTGCGTCATCTGAGAAGTTTGACCAACCAGAAGGAAGGAGTCAGAGTGGGATGGAAAGCATGTCGCGTAGGGTGGTGGATTGTCGTTCGCTCTCCATGGAGGACATATCGCTTATGCGGCTGCGAGGATGCCGCACTATGGCGTCGACGACATCATCGCTCGTTATACCAGAAGAGCAAAGACAACAGCCACATAGAGATCATTTTTCGCTGACGGGCCACATGTTAATGTCATTGCGCCGATCTGCGTCACCAAAGATTCCAGAGACGTTGGCTGCGCAACACCACGAGAGTCAAGGGACGAACTCTGACGTTCTTCAAAGTATTAGGTGTGAGTCTGGGGACTCTTCTACGGGGGGTTTGGTGCCGCGTTGCATGACTCATGATAGTGACGAAAACGGGGATGAAGTTATTAGCGTGGTTTACGACAGTTTGGGCATAAAATTCCCCGATGTGGGGTCTGATGCATTTCAGGGGGTCACGTCTGAACGTTTATTCTCCTTCTGCTTGGAAAAATCAGGGAACCTTGGCGCTAATGTTTCCTCCTTTCAAAGGAAATGCCTTGTTCCCGCCTCAAACTCGCCGTACCCCAGTGTGAGTTCCTCCTACGTGAACGTTATGCCTGGAAACCATCCATTTTCAACCAGGCGGTTTCCAGTTCTTGGGAGGGTGGACGCAGGTTCTTATTCCGTGTTTCATCCTACTGGTCTGAGGGGTGCTGGGGAGGAGGAGGTGAAGGAGTCAGGTGGTGGGAACGAGGGTGAGCGGTGGGAACGAGGCAGCGATGACGGTGGTGACGGCGAGATGGCTGAGGAATTCCGAATAAATGCCAATGAAACTGTCATGGCAACTTTTACTGCTGCCAGCAAGGAAGATGAGGCTGATGTGGATAGTGCCATCGCTGTTGAAGGGAAAGGTGGTGGGGCTTTTGCTGGGGAGGAACTTGACAGGAAAGGCCATGATAACGACGATTGCAACTCCGTGAGTTGTTGTTTTTTGGATTGGCGGCAAAGACGTCAGTACTTGAAGCGTTTACGATGTGTGTATGCTTTTCATGAGCGTATAGCAGCCGCCGCGGAGGATGAAGTTGACCCGGTCTTTTCGCGAAATTCTTCGCAAAGTGCTGGCCGTCTTGTACCTCCTCATGCGGAGCTTTGCTCATTATTTTTATTGAAAATGACAGGAACACCGCCTGGATATTACAGTTTTGGGTCTTGGCGTAGCATGCAACATCCAAATAAGAAAGTTGTTCCAGCTATGTCGACGCTGCTTAGCAGTTTTTCCACTTACAGCTGTGACAGCCGCCAGAGTAGTCTTTCATTCAGCATGGATCCTCACATTTTGTTCCTGATCGAGCGGCGCCCACTATTGCAGACAACCTTATTTGCAGAGTTTACCTACCGTAAAATTTATCAGAAAATGAGACAGCAGCAACAGCAGGTACCTAAGAGTAGTGCGAGTGGTTATGTGAATAATCCAACGTGGGCTCCATTTGTTTTTGAGGGAATACCAAATAAGGAAGAGAGTTCCGAAAAGGAGTCTAACAGGGTTGCTGATGTGACGATCGCTTCAGTGGAAATTGATTCGCCAAAGGGTCCGGCTGCCGTCGATAGCGTGACAGATTCCAGTCTTACTGCGGGGGAATTTGTGGAGCTTGCGCCAAAACCGGTCGTGTCCTCTACATCTTTCTTAGGAGCGGGGGAATCGCCTGTCACGGTTTATCGCCGACCGCTAACGCAGTTGCATTCCTGTAAGAGGAAGGTTCACACCATCGATGGGAATACTCGTTGTGTGGATAATGAGGAGGATGACCTTGTCGTTTATGTAGGTATGATTATAATGGGATGGCTGGAGGTGGTAGATCTTTTGGGAGCGGGCACATTTGGGCAAGTCTTTCTATGCAAAGATCTACGTATTTCGGATGGACACTTTGTACACCCGGGTGAGATTGAAGGGGAAGATTTTCAATACTGGCAGTGCTCCCATGAGTATATTCCCTTTAGCGATCCATCGCTCATGCCGACCCATTCCCCTCTTGTAGCCGTCAAGGTTGTGAAGAGCCGAGAGTTGTTTGAACAACAGTCCATCCTGGAGGCGGAGATGCTTGTGTACATTGGTACACAGATCGCACCTAAGCAGACGCGTGATGCTGAGGTGTCAGAGGGAATTGCAGGGAGTCCTTCCGCGATGGAGCCTCCGGAGTTGGATGCTCCCTGCCAGTATGTAGCACATATTTTTGCACATGGGATATGTTACGGCCACCATTGCATTGTCATGGAACGTTATGGTGCAAATCTTTTTGAATATGTGCAGAGTCGTGATTTCAAAGGGCTTCCGATGTACCATATTCAAGCAATTGGACGCAAAATGTTGTTGGCATTAACACTACTTCACGAGGAATGCCACGTTGTACATGGTGACATCAAGCCAGAAAATGTACTATTGACACTTGACTCATGTTTTTCAACCCCCACAGTTCATAGAACTACTGCTGCTAATACTGGAGGTGGTTGTGTGGGCCATGATGATGGTGTTTCTCGTGGTTCAAGGGTGACGTCCAAATCATCTTCCGTACTCTTGTGTCCCTCAGCAAGGGTTAGTTTTAAACATAAACTAACCGGTGCGTCGACATCCAACACAATGGAGTCTTCATTGCCAGCCCCAGTTCCTTTCCGTACACGCCATTACGGCTATGTTGGCAAAAACCAGTGTACACCTCATGACATGGAATCATTGGGGGAGGGTGAGGGAAGTGTGGAGGACGCAGCTCAAGGAACACAGAATGTAACTCTTCCATCCTTAAAGATCAGGCTGATTGATTTTAGCAGCAGTTTCTACGTGGGGGCCAGCATCTACACGTACGTGCAGTCGCGCTACTACCGAGCTCCAGAAGTGATTGTTGGTGCGGGCTATGGCCCTCCAATTGACATATGGTCGACGGGGTGCCTCCTCGCAGAGTTGCTGCTGGGGCTCCCACTCCTGCCCGGTAGTTCTGACTTTCACCAACTTTACCTGATTGAGGAGATGCTAGGACCACTTCCCTCGGAGCTGCTTGGGCGGGGAAAGCAAACTACTGACTACTACCTTGTCGAGCCTACCGAGTCTGAGGGTGGAATTTCCGTAAGCGGTGGTTCTACAAACACAGGCGGTAGCGTAGCAGAAAGTGTTTCCTCTTTTAGGCTTTTCCGGGAAGACGAGTATCGTGCTCGACACGAGAACGCTCCACCAGTGGAGTGGAGGTGCTACTTTCAATACCGCACGCTCGCGGAACTGCTGCGAAACTGCATGCTCAGCGTGGAAGAAAAACAAATAGCTCTTCGGGGGCTCTCTGTGCTTGCCGTTGGCGAACCAACTGAGGACATGCCGCCGGCAGCAGCGGAGCAGCAAAGACCAATAAAAGCCATTATTGATGAGATGATGCAGCAAAGATTTTGGCTGTACGATTTGCTGAAAAAGATGCTTCATGGCGATCCGTCCAGGAGGCCGACGGCGCGCGAAGCACTGTTTCACCCGTTTTTTATGCACACCCCAAATTACATGAAACCCTATTTGTTTGTTACGGAGTAACGCAAGAAGAAAAAAAAAAGGTGGTGCAGAATGCAGTCGCATCGACGACTCTTTTTTTTTCACGTGGGGGGGGGGGAGGAGGGGGTAAAATAACAACTAATGAAAATAAAAAAGATGATGTCAAAGAGAAGTATATATATATATATATA